CTCAAGCACACAGTTAAAATTATCTCATACTATTGATGTTTATTTCTTACAAAATTTTTAAGCAAATTATTTATAGCAACTTCAGCTTCAGACATTAAAACCATTCTTTTTTTTGTTTTACAGCACGGCCTTTGGAACAGTTAACAACTAATGCAATGTATGATTGGTAGAACTTTGTCTCCACATCTTAAGATTGATAAACCATATTTTAGTTTATAGTTTTTCAGGGGTGGAACTCATGAAATGTATTTGGGAGCAGCCATGGGAGCAGCTGAAACCGCTGTTTTGGAGCAGGTCGTGAGCAGCTAAAGCTACATTCTGGAGCAGGCTAGGAGCAGCTCAGATCAGTTTTCACTGCACTTCAGCTTGTGTCCTAGACGAGCACGAGAGCAATTTCGATTGTGCTTAGCAGCACAGATGAACATGAATGGTTAGGAACCTAGGCAGATGGTATAACAGTGTAACAGATGCGAAAACTTGAAACTTTGTGAGCCTGAATGACAACCAAAAAGCAAGTACCATATGTTTCTGAAGATAATGTCCTGGATATTTTGAGTGGCTTTCAGTTGCTCAAAATGCAAATCAGCCCTGCTTATCGCACAACCCACACGTGCTCGACATAGTAATTATATGTGCGAACCTCTTGACGTGCGTAAGCAACGGACGTGCAGTTGCGTGGAGGAACAGGGCAACAAATTTCGAGTTTATCCTATTGTGCAACTCAATATCGAAGCAGCAGACTACAATTAACGAAGTTATTGTATTCAAAGCGATTAGCAAGAGCATGGTTAAAGTACGCCGAGCAGATCTAACGCTCGCGTGACAGCTGCTGGCCAGCAAGGTTTCGGATGGGACCGCGTTTCAGTTCTATCAGATCACAAATTATCTTGCGGGAATGCGGTTCTAACGATAAAGTACTAAAAGAAATCTTTTGCTCATTTGTTTTCAACTGGCTGCTGTCCGGAACCCAAGCCGCGGAGCCTCAGGCAATCTGACGCTTAACGACTCGACCTCACCTCGGCCAACTTGCTTAACCGCTGATGGTTGAAGAATAATAATCCAGTCGCAGGTCTAGCGCTCCGAATCCGATCCCAGAGTTTCTTTGGCGCGCTTCCTACTCGGGATACACAGGGAGAATAAACAGAACAAAGGATTGCAAGGCCGACCAAGCTAAACGCGCTCATTGTTGCCAATCGAGTCGATAGAAACCGAAACCAAAACAAAATAAAAATTTTTTTATTGCGCAAGTAGTGCGATTTGGTGCATAATGGCGCAAGGTATTGGCTGTGGGGCAGTTTCTGCGAAATGGCGCAGGTTGGCGCAGACAAATGCGTCTGGCACAACAGGCGCAGCCGTTTCACCCGTTTTTGCTAAGCACTTGAAAGTGCCACACCACTTACTACAAATTGACTGTACTATAATCCATCCCATGCTAAATTAGTTCAAAAGTAACACATTGTGAAATGTTAGTATGTCCCCTCCAACTGGCCAATTGGGGACGTCACAGGGTGTTTTACGACCTTTACTACACAATTATTGGAAGCATGCAACAAGACAGTGGCACCACAGTCCTAGCTCTGCTTTTACCAGAAGCAACTCGCATCAGGGTGCCTATATGTGCGCTTCGCATGGAGTGATGCCAACTGCCTGTTTCCCTTTCCCACACCCTCTTCCACCGCCATTTTGTTCCTCTCATTGTTTCTCCGTGCGCCGGAAAGTGGCCTTTGTGTCCATCGGTCCTCCCATCCGAGGGGGAAAATGCTAATCCTCCCTCCATGGGTTCCACAACGTTGCTTTGAACTTGAGATAAGGTGCTTGTTTCTAGGAGGGTTATAAGCCCCACGGATTATCGTCGAGAACCAAAATGGCTGCTGGTTTGTCGACAAGTGGTATTACAAAGGGTGGCATCACCCTAGCAAAGCGCACATGAGGGCTCCCTGACTCACATAGATATCCTGCTTTGCAGCTGACCTTAGTTTATAGCCAGTGTCAGCTTACCTAAGCACAATGCTATACCAAATGTTTGGGAACCTAGTCAGTGCTTTCTTCTTACACAAGATTTGGAATTGAGAGTGTAGATCTCTTCAATGCACTGGTGAAAACAGCAGTGATCGTGTTATTCCCAGTATGTTTCCTAAATCCACCATCGAGCGAAAAGCAGTTCGATAAAAAGGAGCAGAAAATGTTTTCATGTAGATTTTACCAATTCCTGGCATTAGAGAAGGTCATCCCATAGTGATTCCCAGACTGTCAAGCACACAAGCACTTTGTAAAGGCACATTCCAGAAGAGATACAACAAAAAAAATGGCGGTCCGTTGCCGTTGTAGCCCCTTAAATTTAACTCGTGCTCTGAGCAACTCCGGTCGGTAGAATAATTGGGAACGGCTACGGGTCGATGCTGGTAATGAATACATTTTCAAATGTCAAGGCACCAAACCTTCACTCTGGAGCAACATCAAGCCACTGGAAGACTCGAACGCGGCCAAAAAAAACTGTAGGTGCATAAGAGGTTCGAGCAAACAGCACCTCACAATCCGACATAATGTGGCCGCCTTCGTTGGTGACGCTGCCAACCAGCTGCCAAGGTGTCGCACACTCCCAAAATACTTATATAAATGATATTACTGAAAATAGTCTCAGAAAGCTACCTGTCAAAAGCCTTATACACAAGGAAGTTGCCAGATTCCTACAATCTTGCTAAGATTTAAATGTTTTATATAACTGCAACCCAATTCGAGATATTTTGTTGAGGAGTTTCTTTGCAGAAACTGGACATTTCTGTTACAAAAGCAATGGCAATCTACATAAATATTGTCCCAGAATATACATCCTCAAGCATTTTCTGGTGGCTTAAGCAAGTGCAGCACTAGTGGTAGAGCCGAAGGCCATTCGCAGCGAGACCATGAAAAAATGTGTTGCACTCAACTATAGCAAGAGCCAAGTATCCCGACGATCGTTTCATCGGCATGCCCCACAACACAGTATCCAGTTTAGGGGACGCATATTGTAGCAGCGAGCGACGGCACTTTTCCAGCATTATTAATGTTCCCGTGTGGCTTGCATCGGCTTTGCCCATTTGCAGATGCCCTTTGCCTTTTGCTTCATCGCGGCGTTTTTACGCCTCTGAGCACATCTTCAAGGCTCCCTTGCCAAGTATGGGCAAGTGTGTTGCGCTGCAAACCCGACCAACCAACAAACTGTGCCACGAGTGCATGCTCGCAGACGCTGCCACCGAGCATTGGCTTAAGCCGTCCGCGACATGGTAACCTTGCATTGTTTAACGGCACATCGTGAAATTGCAACAACATCACTACAAACAGTTCCTAGAGCCGCTCACAAATAATTGTTGAGCATGTAAGCAAGTTCTTGTTTTGCCGGCGCGGCAGTCCGTAGCGTCAAACTTTGTCGGCGACATACCGAATATCAAAGCTTTCCCCTTCACTAACGTCCAAAAATTCCACACATACTGGATGAATGTCGTTAATGTAAGCTCGGAACATTTTTTCAAGTTCACGTCAAAGCGTAGGTATCTTCGTTGAAAAGATGGTGCACGTCAGCACCTGTCCAGGCAGTTAACGGCATCCTACGACCTGGTAAGCACATCCGCGCGATGTGAAGTCGATCACCATCATGGTGCCAGCCCCGTCCTTCTACAGCGTGACGCGACACATGCAAGGCACGTATACATGCCTTGCATCTGACGTCGTCCTGTCAGCTCTCAGGTCACCACAAGAGAAGTGGGGACTCCCTTTTGAGTCCCAGACGTCGCTATTCACTACTTGCAGCGATGGTAGTACTGCGGTGCGAGAATCGCATTCCCTAGCTCCGGGATGATTGCCTCTACAATAGATATGTCCGCCTATACCTTCCCCGACATTAAAAAATAAAGTAAGGCCTAATAGTGCTCGTATACAGAAAAACAAATTATACACTGCAGGCCCAGATTTATACTGCTGTTCTACAATGATCATCCAGATGACAGCCATTTTGATAGGTGCCAGTGTGCCCCCTATAGGTTGTGATAGTTGCTAATTCTCCCCCGAGAAGATTGTGGATTAACCAGTTACTCAAAATTCATACAAAACCAGCTTTCCCCTCTTTATCTTCCGTGGTGGTACGAAATAGACGTTAGTGCAAGGCATGTAGTGGCAGTGATAAAAATATTGTTTTACACACAAAGGATTAAGATCTGCATTTAAAATCCTCGGCCGAGACAGGAGTGAAAAGCATAGAAGAAAAAATATTCTAAGGAATGTGGCCCCGCAAATGGATGGATGCTAGTGGCTGTCTGTTACATCGGGCGATAGATTGCGCCAACCAGCCTAGACACTTTCCTGCCCCTCCCTAATGTTGCGCAACGCGTTGCCCAGTGTAGCGTCAAGGTAACCCGCTGGTGATTGTAACATTGATTTTAGAAGCGATTGCGGAGACCCTTTCGCACAATGTTTAGGCTAGGGCATTACTTTGTCCCACTAAAGCTATATCAGGCACTTGTTTTGGTGCCGAAAACACGGAAGGCGCTGGCTGCAAGACTGGCAGTGATGCTGAAAAACGGAAAAATAACTAAACCAGCTCAGTGCACGTCGAGACAGGGGAAGTGGCAACAAGAGGGTAGGGGGATACAAACCCAGGGACGCTCAAACCTGTCGGTGAGCCCGTGAAGTGTAAAACTGCGCGAGAAACCAATGACAAAAATATCGACGAAGTAAAATACTTGCAAAACCCAATGCTGGGTCTGAAGTAGATCCGAGGACCGTAATAGCGCCTCTCGAATAATCGATCCCGAAAACACGTTCCACGTGCGTTCCCAAGATTCGAACAAAGAAAAACGCCTCCTCCCGGCAGATGTCTGCACCAACGGCGCCCAACATTAAGCCTAACTCCGTTCGAGATGAAGTATCAAACGGAACGAAATCTCGCTCAGAATCCTTTTCGAGCGTGTGGGAGGTTCACAACACTCACGACAACGACGTCGATGCACGAAAACTCCCAAACTTACCACTGCAGCTTGTAACCTCGCCTACCTCGTATTCCTAGGCAACTGCTATCAACCAACAAGCACGAACTAGCATCTGCCCACTGCCCAGCGTCGACGTTCAAAAAGACAAGAACGATGACAGCAACCGCTGCCGACTGATTTGGCGCTGTCGTCTGTAGCGTAGTCGGTACTCTGTACACGGGCCCTGAAGTTCGAATGATTCTAGAAGTTCTACAGAGGCACTTTGGTGTCACTCCTTCCGTCATGTTGTACGCAAAAGTGACTGCTTGTCACGTCACCACGAAATTGCAAAAATATGGTTTGCGCGATGTTTCGGGCGGACGCCGCAGAAGCCACGGACGCCCGGAACGTCGCGTATTCCCGTGACGTCACCGGTAAGATGGCAGCGCCCAGAGCTTGTTGATGCGAGTTGGTTCGGTGTTCCGAAATCGTGATGTGCCGCTGCTTGCCGACGATTTCGGAGTGCTTTGTGCTTCCTGACGCAGGTATAATGTGGAAATCTGAAGCAGTTAGACTTTATACGCTTTTTGCGCCAGATCGTTGTGTTTAGTAGCACCTGTGACTCGCGAGATCAGCAGTATCGCTGTAGCGATGTTCGCGATCCCATACGTGCTCAGGATCGATAAACTTTTAGTGCTTTTAGCATGAGATTTTCGCATTTGCATAGCTTTATTTGAGCGTTCGAATATGTGAGACTCGAAGTGGAATGTATGCGTGGCGTGTAGAATCTAGGGGAAATTTCAGCCGTAGGCCACGGCATGATCGCAGCAACTTTTAGCAAGGAAGCCCCTTTGTACCCATCAACGATTTTACGAATTGGCAGTTCTCCAGAATTTTATCAAAACGTGCTTTCACTGCAGTAGCTTGCACTCGATCGCAGTATTTTTTTTCTTTTTTTTTAAGTGAAAAGCTGACGTTTGTTTAGGTGACGTGCACGCGAACCCGTACGAATGGTAGGGACCAATCATTCGGAAAATATTAGGTGGTCCAAGTCACCAGGCTCGAACTAAAATGTACCGTAAAAATCGACGCCTGCACGTAGCAACCTTAACTTTTCGTCAAAGGTGTATTTCACAGGTCGGTTTTTTCTTGTAAAATTACAAAGCGTAGCTCTGTTTCTGTAAAAAATAAGGCCAAGAAACTTGCCAGGGTCTACAGCAGGCAGTGACGCAGACGACAGGGGTTCAGTAGGGGTGTGTGTTTGGCGTTCGTATTGATAGATGGCGTCACGAGCAGCGTCTGAAGGTGCAGCCGACCAGCGAAAGAAAGCAGACAACACGCAGATGAAATCCGCTGTCAGCAAAAGCGCCACCGTTATGCAGACGCGTTTTTTTACTTTAAGTATTGCTTTTATTGTCCGCATTTATTTTTTAACCGACGGTACATTTCAAAAAGATTATGTTCATTTTGATAAACCATGGTGGTTGCGAGCCGTCACGATTAGAGTTCCTGTATGGGCTCCCTACGGGAGCCAGAGTTGCGCGTCTATTTTCCACGTTCCGCCACGCCGCTATTCGCCGAGATCCTATCACGTGAGGAGCCGGATCAAGTGCTGTGCAGGAAAGTAGACGTTGCAAACGCCCCGCCGTACGTTCCCTTGCTTTTGAGCGCGCCGCGCACCTTGAACGTGTGGTGCCACTATTCGCCGAAGTCAGTCACGTGAGGAGCGGGATCAAGATGCCGTGCAGGAAAGATGGCACTACGGAGATGAACGCGCAACTCTGGCTCCCGCAGGGAGCCTATACAGGAACTCTAGTCACGATTAAAGCCCCTCGATGTATTTGCGTTTGTCTTGCAAGTAGCGTCAAATGCGCGAGTGCACGAGGCCCGTGTCTCGAGCGACCCTTGGAAGCAAATGGCGGCGCAGCACTGAAATGAGCGGCCCTTGGAAGCGAATGGCGGCGGAGCACCCGCTCGTAGCACGTGTCTCGCGCGTTTCCACAACAATGGTTGGCGGTACTTGTAAAAAACGCCTTTATCAAGGGGCTTTAGTCACGATAAGGAGGTAGCGCCATCTATCAATACGAACGCCAAACGCACCTCGCTACAGAACCTGTTGTCTGCGTCGCTGCCCGCCGTAGACCCTGGCAACTTTCTTGGCCTTATTTTTTACAGAAAGAACTTCGCTTCGTAATTTTACAAGAAAAAACCGACCTGTGAAATACACCTTTCACGAAAAGTTTAGATTGCTATGTGCAGGTGTCGACTTTTATGGTCCATTTTAGACCGAGCCTGGTGACTTGGACCACCCTGTAGTTTATTGCTAATGTTCATAAAACAGACAGTTAGCAAGTCTACATTTTTGATTAGTCAGTCCACAAATTACTGTATTCCACGTCCCTTAGAAATTAGTATTAGTAAGCTTCCAAGTTGTGACCTTGATGATCGGCATCAGCAGTTCACACTAAAGGCCCATTCACACACTTGCAAGCGAGTACGACTGAGTGAGACAAGGCCGGTTTTTAAGCCTCTTTCGATGGCATAGGACCAGATGCGCTACTGCGGAGCAGATCCTAAGCCTTCGCAAGAGGCTTAAAAATCTGTCTCGTTGCAGCCGGTGCTACCCGGTTGCAAGTGTGTGAATGTGCGTTAACCTGCAGTGTATGATCAGACTCCTCTTAGATGGTCGTCTCATCCATCATTTCGACATCTAAATTCTTACAAAAAAAAAATGCACCCCCCCTTTTTAGAGATCCAAAGATAGAACCATATATATGAACAACTGGTTAAATTTAATGCAACTCGAGAATAGAAGATGAACTGCAAATCATTTTTCACTGTCGTAGAATTTATTGCAGCCATTATTTCTTTCATTAGAGTCCATGTATCAGTCACTCAATTATTTACTTGCTCTAATTACCTGAACCAAATAATTGGTGTTTGTCCCTTGCCTAAAGGAGCAGTCTTGTAGCAATATATTAACTACCATTACTTTCAGTTTCTTCCATATACTTTCTCTCAAAAGTGTGAGCCTCCTACGCTTATTTTACCATGACCAGGCAAAGAGCAAACTCAACAGCCCCCTCAACCCAACCAGAGAGACGAAGTGAAGGTATCTGACGACTCTCGGCAGGAGGAGAGCTAGCACTCCTATGAAATGGTGTCACGTGACTTTTCGACGTGCATATTGGCTCCCTGGGACTGTAGCCTTTGCCGCTTGGGACCAGACATTTCATCAAACGCCGTTTCGTCGAACGCCGTTTCATCGAATGCCGTTTCATTGAACGCCGTTTTATTGAACGCGATCTTATCGAAAGCCATCTTATCGAAAGCCAGGGTGGCATTCCCGCTTCCTGAAGCTGGTCGGAGGTGCCCATCGCAAGTTCTGGAAGTTTTTGACTTGCATCGCCGCAGAACATCAACTGACGGAAGACACGCTGGAGGCGATGCTGAGTTCCTCCTCGCCAGAAGAAGGCCATACCGGCAAGAAATGAGAGCGTCCGCCTTTTTTTATGAGAACCAACAGAGCATGGCAGTGGGGGACTTTTTGAGAGCAATTGCTCATCATTTGAAATGGTGAATGGCTGTCGCACGAACACATGAACCTCCGAAAGTTTTCAAATAAAATTTGAAGTGACATACTTACTTTTGACTTCATTGAGTCTTAGAACTAAAAAAAAAACAATGTTTCGTTGCAGTTTCATAAATAGCACCTAAGCTTTAGCTAATGCAAGCTTCAGGCAGTAAAAAAGTATCAATAGAAAGACATGAGAGGCTAAAAGGCTCACATGGCTAGAGTTGTTGCGCTTGCGCAAAACCTAAGTCGCCTTCTGGCCTCCATGAGTTGGAGTACGCTCTTACCGGGAGTGCGACTTTTTATTTATTTGTTAAAATAGCCTCAAGGCCCATCGGGTAATACAGAGGCGGTGGGCAGATAAGCACAATATGCGAAACAAACATAAAAATCGGTTCAAATATCCTCATGGGTTACTTGCATGAAAATAAATTGTAACAGCTACAAGTTTGGGCATTAAAAAACCTGACGATGAAATGAGTGAATGACACGAAAATGCACTCGATCCGTGCATAAAAGAGCAGCCTTCACACTTTTTATATAAAAGACATTCAACGAAACAGCCGTCAGCAGTTCAATGAAACGTCCATTTTTTCTATGAAACGGCGTTCGATGAAATGTCCGGGAACCTTTGCCGCTTGCCGATTTGTGGTGAAACGGAGTATAGTAGCTACTGTGTAGCTACTATACTCGGATAGAGGCCTTCATACTTTGGGCATGCGCTCTGGGCCTGTATTCGACAAGAACATCATGTCAGCAATCACCGAACTTCTGGCTGTATAAACATACACACAACAATTCGCTTGGTTCAGCACCTGTTGGACACGAGTGCGGCATAAACATCCGACATGAACTGGGTGGGGTTCATTCATGTACTTTACAGCGAAAAAAATGGCGACCATCAATGTTGCTTGATAGGGTCTTGCAAGAGGTTGAATGTCATATGCATATGAAATGTAGTGCTACATAACAATGCCTATACTCAGATTCATCACATACTACTAAACTAGATGCTCAAAGGTGTGTTTGCCTTTATGGTTAACAAGTTACAGAAATAATTATTCCTATGTATGTCATTTTTGTTTTCAGTAGCTGTGCCCGTTTTATGTTCATAATGTCAATGTGCTATCATACTATTTGTATGTATTTTTAAATTTTTTCTCTGCAATGCCTAGACTTTGAGGAAATAAATCAATAAATAACATTTCCACATCACTGGAGTTTGTTTTGGGACACACCACATGTTCAGGAGTGGTGGAAAAAGTGCAGTCCCCATGCAGTCTGCCTATAGGCCTCCTGCGCTGAAGCTTTGAACAAACTGTAGCACCCTCATTTCGGGTAGTACAAGATCACCTGATTGAGCCTCGCACTACTTATGGCATGTTGGTTGAGCTTTTTTAATTCTGTGTGGTGCTGAAGAACGAAAAAGCACCTTTGGACGCCAGAAATCGGCCAGACTCAACGTTGCAAGACAATCGAAAGTGCCAAATTCATGACACCACTGCTAGGGCACGTGTCTCTTATCTCTGGGTGGTGACGTCAGAACACCTGTGTCGCGACGCTTTCATTTTGCTTTCTTTTTCATGTCTACTTTGGAACGCGTGAAACGGCATCTCTTGGCTCACGCTCTTAGCGTCTTAGCTTTGACGGCGCTCGAATTTTTGTTTCTTTGTATTTTCATTGTGATCTCGCGCAGAGCAGGCACGCTTCTGCATGCGTGACAGTTTGAGACGCTAAAATTTGTACTACCCAAAACAAGTCCTAACAAGTCCCTTTTCGCAGCACCCCCTGGGCAATGCAGGAGGCCTATACTAAACATGGTTTGTCATAATTCATATTGGAGGTTCTAGTATCCTCAAAAATCCACTGCCTCCAGTGAACACGATTCATGGTGGTGTTGACACTGAAGGAGGAAAGGCTGGAGTGTGAATATGAGTATTCGGCTAGTAAATCGAATATGTTTATTTTCACTTGATTACATGATTATTGATTCTTACCAAACAGTTCCATAACAAGTTCTTCCTGTGTCAGTATCATCTCAGACGTTGCCATTCTGCCCGTGCTCCTTGGTGTCGGATTACACTCCAGCTTCTGGCATGTCAGCTCAGCTCGGTCAACTGGGGGCCAACCCCACGGTCTCGCTGAACCCCACCCACCATCTTCTAATCGCACGTCATGTGCCGCCACTTACATCCTGTGCTGAAGTTCCAGAGCTGGCCAAGATGCCCGAATCGGAAAAAATAACCCTCCTAAATAACTTCAAACTTATAATCCGCAAATTTGGCTGGTAGTTTTGTACGCCATTGTAGTAAGTTCAGGCACATGTTTACGTGACTGTGCCTTTTGCTGTGCCTTTGGCTTGAAGGCTGGCGACAATTTTTGTTGGCCATCCAAGCCACTTCCCTTCCGCAGAGGCAACTTCTTTTGCATGCTGCAACCGCCGCAACTTGTGCAAGTCTCGTGAGGTAAAGTGAAGTTGGGTGATGCTTGGTATTCAAATTTCAAGAACAATCAACCATGCTATATTTTCTTTTTTTTTAGCCACTCGGCGACATCCTCACTCAAAAGTGTGAATCGTGTGCGAACTATCCCTCATGGAGTGGACACAGGTTATTGGTGTTGGCAAATTGTTATCGCTCTTGGTAGATGATCCGACACAAAATCGACCGCCGTGGTACAACGGGCCTAGGAACACCGTCAATTGGAAATATCTTTCAATATCATCCAAGGATGGATGAGTCCAAAGCGTGGTAGAGTGAAGTGGATTTGGATCAGATCGCCAACGACGACGAGGAGTGAGAAAAAACAGGACAACGAAAAAGAGAAGAAGATGAGAACGAGGAACGGAATAAGGCAGAATAAATGAACGTTTGAGATCATCCACTGAGTTCGGAAGACTAATCTAGGGATCATTACATACGCTGCAGTGTGGTTCTTGTAGGGCGATGATGTAGCGGTTGAAGGAGAGGCGAGTTTTGAGGTCATGTAGCCTAGCTGATAGGCCACGGCAGTTCCATTGTAGTATTGAAGGTGTCTTGTTGTTGGTTACCGTGCGTAGCAGTGGTGGTTGGCAGCCATGTTGGGCGTTATAGAGAAGGCTGCGGATGGGAGAGTGTTGAAGCAGGAGGGACTCGCTGTCTGGCGTGTGCGGAGGAGGGACAGGAGTGTGTAAAGAGTGTGCTCAATCTTCATATGTGTCCTGATCTGTAGCTCGGTGGAATGTGGGGTGCAACTCTCAGGACGGTACCTGTGACCGTCGGCGGGTGGGGGAGGTACGTAAGAAGGATGCCATGGTAGAGGGCAGTTAAGGCTCTGTGCAGTGCCTGCTGGCCGAGGCCGTCGTGCCTGCCGGTACAGCGGAGCGGGGGGCTGTAGTTGCTCGGAGCCGAGGAGGGTGCCCTGCACGTGCTAGTGATTGGAAGTTTGGCGCTCTGGCTCACGGGCGGAAGAGGTGCACTGGGTCAGGGCCGTGGTTGAGGCAAGGTCCGTCCACGCGAGTCCCGGCAGGATGCAATGGGAGGTCCATATTTCGCCAGGCCCGGGCGAGGTCCAGGCGGGGAGCCGGCGGTGGCCCCGCGGGACAGGGCAGGGTTACGTAGGGGGACCACGACGCCGGCAGGGGCGAAAGTGGTTGTCAAATTCACATTCTCATTCACAGGCGGGGGCGCCTGCCATGCCCGTTGATGATGGGCATGAGGGGGGCGGTCGGCGATGACCTTGCGAGCCTCCGCGCGGGGGATACTCTCGTGGACCATTATGGCCGTGACCTCACTTCCCCGCCGGTAGGTGGGACACCAACGGTCCAGCGCGCTATGGTTCAGCCCGCAGTTGGGGCAGCGCGGGGTGTCACTAAGGGGGCACCCTCCGGGAGGGTGGCGGCCTGTGCAGGTGGGGCAGGCGGTGGGTAGTCCGCAGGCCCCCGGTTGAGTCGGTATGACGCGGGTCTGCACCCCTCAGAAGCACACGTGCCCCGGTACCTCGCCCTTAAAGCAGACAAGCAAGTCCCTTCCATGGTTGGTCCGGTGGGTTGCGATGATGTGGAAGGGTGACTCAATGTCCGCGACGAGGTGTCGACTTCGAGGTCCGGGTCCACGTCAACCACCAGCCCCTAGGGGCCCTGGTGTGGGTGGCGAGCAGCAGCTCCACTCTGAACCCGCCCAACCTCTCTATTCCGAGGAGACGGGCAGTCAGTCGCCTCCTCGTCGTTAGTGTCCACCGCGATAATGTTCCGGCTGAGGTTGATGCCAGTGGTGCAGACCCTGCCTGCAATCAGGCCGATGTCCTGCCCCACACTTGGGCAGTTAACTCTTGCCAGGGCCGCCCGCTCTCTGGGCCAGAGCAGGACGGTCTGGGGGGTCTGCTGACCTGCATCCCGCAAGTCGCAGCGCGCTTGGAATTGTTTTGCAGGTGGGGGGGCTCGGCTCCATTGCCCAGTCCTCCACGTTCCCCATCCAGGTCCCCGTACCTACCGGCGCCACCCTCCCACCAGGGGTCATAGAGATCGTTGCCTCTGTCATTATCAGGCAGCACTTTGAAGATGTTCCTGGAATGGAAGCGGGGATCGAGAAGGCGGGGCCCGGAGCACGCTGCCGCCATGGTCTCTGCCGGGGTAATGAGGGTCCGGGGTGCGGTATCTCTCCCCGTCTCATCCCCTGGGCAAGATGACGATCTTGGCCGCTGTCGGCAAGGGAGCTGGCCGGGAAGGGCTCCCCATTGTCCTCATCCGCCGATATTACGGGAGCCAGGGCCGTGGTCTCCTCGCCCCTCTCCGGTTTGGTCCGTCGACTCGGCAGCGGCGGTCCTGATGAGCCGCAGGCTGTCGGCCGCGGGGCTTTAAGGGCAGCTTCCGAGGTCTTTTCCGGGGGTACGCAGCCCAAGTCCACGTCCCTGATTCCGTCGCAGCGGCACGCGAGAAATTCGCACAGGTTCTCCTGGACCTCGATCTGGCTGAAGATGGGACCAGGCACCGACTATCGGAGGTTCAGGGTTCGGTCGGGGCCAACAGTGGTCTGTTGCCTGGAATATTCCTTTTCTCCTGGCGAACTCGGGCTGCAACCAGCTGGCGGGACCGGATTGCAAGTGAGACGTTCGGGTGAACGGGTTCCTTCCGCTCTCCGGCCATCGACGCGGGCCCTGGGTCCTGCCCACTGAGCGCATCAGGGCTCCGGCATCACTTCCCTCGACGAAATGTAAAAATCCCCCCCCCCCCCCCCCCCGCCACGCGGGAGGCACTCACTTGATCGAATGACGTTTTAGCGAACGCCCACGTTTCATCGAACGACACTTTAGCGAATAGTCGGACGCCGCGAAGCGGCTTTTTCGGGTGGGCCAAGTGAGTCCATATTTTTGTAATGAGTTGCCGCAGACTGTCGCCGCGAAGCGGCGTAAAGCGCAGCGCGACGGATGGGTTAACGCGCGCCCCCGTTATTCGCTAAAACGACCATTTGCTCAAATGCCGCCGTTCGCTAAAATGTCATTCGCTCTTGTGATATGGACCCCTTTCCAAACGGAGCGATGGAAGAAGGCAGAGGAGCGCTCACGGCATCGTCTTGGATGTGACCGCACCAACAATGTAAACATGCCTCGATCCGGCACGAGAAGCTTGGCACCAAATCATTCGAACACACCTCTATGGAACACACTACATATTTTCAAAATACAAATTGATTGTCCTTTTTCCGAGACCACTACGCACACAACAAAACAAATATCAGAACACAAAAGCAAATCTGAAGTGTCTGAAGTGGCTGACAGAAATCGCTGGCAATGATCGTCTTTGGTCGTCTTCTCTTCGGATTTCACGATTTCGCATTTCGCCAACGTTGGTTTTGGCAGTTGGTCGTGGTTTTGGCCGATCCATTGATTCGGCCATTCGGCCACGTCTGCAAAACGGCAGCACTGGTTTATCTTGCCATATATAACCTTTAGCCATTAGCATGACAAGCCAAAATCCAATGTGTTTGTTCTGTTTTCTTTGTTTGTTTGTTTTTAGGCTAAGTGGTATCAAGATGGTGAATGAAAACGGTGGCGCGCAAAAATAGGCGGGAAAAAGGAGGAAAAAGCTCGGTTTCATGCGATCGCTGCTACTTCGACCTACGTTGATCAGAGAAAAATGTGTACCGTTGGTATGGAGACAGCGGAACTCAATGGCAAAGAGCCAAAACAAGCGAAGTAAGTGTTGAAGGCAGAATATTTTCTGAGTGACTGCTTCGCGAAACATTTATATTGATACCGTGCTCGTGTTATGCTGTTAAACGTTTCTAAGCTTGTTCAATTCGCGCACCCTTGGAAATATTCGTCCGTTCTCCGGGCTCAGTTAAACTGTTTGCAGAAAACCTCCGAATACCTGCTAGCTTTCTGCCATTAGGCAGCGTAAAGGCTGAAACATATGATGCGGAAAAAAAAAAAAAAAATGGACCGAGAATTGGACAAAAATCCAACCACCCGAAAACCATTGTCCAAGTTTTTCGGAAGACGAGCAACATGAGGCATTTCTTCTCGCACGGAAATCGCAATGCTTTACGTTTTCTCGCTCCGAGCCGTCTGATATTCGGAGGCTCCGTCCGAAAAATATCTGGCGCTCTAGATCTCGAATAGTTTCCGGTTTTCGCTAAAGGGGAGGAGCCTGGCTGCCTTAAATCGCTCGCTGTTTTCTCGGGAGGTTCCTTTTTAATCATTTAGATGAGAGCAGATTTATTAGGATAAATTTTAACACACAATTATGATTTCCCGGAGAGAATCCTGCTTTTCCCCGTTAGAAGTATTCTTTCCAGTCCTGCCAAACTTTTGCCTTCCAAGAAAAAAAAAAAAAAAAAAATGGGCGTGTTAACGGACTTCTAAAAAAAAAAAAAGATTTTTTTTTTTTTTTTTTTAACAGTTTAGTTGGGACACGCGTGCCAAGAAATAATTTTTATAGAAAAAAAATTGTTTAGAGCAATATTGACGGGGAGAGATTGATTTGAAATCTGTGCGCAAAGTCCACGACGTCACGAAATGGTCATTAGATCTTTCGACCTCAACAAGATCGCCTCTCGTTCTTTCCATCTCTCGTCCACGCGCCCAAAATGCTGAGAGAGAAAACAAGTGGAAAGGGGGGGGGGGGGGGGGGTGACTACCAACTAAATCATGTCTCGCGCCGTCAATATTCGTGTCTCCAGCTCGAAGCTCGCTTTCCCGCGGCGGAAACGGGAAACGCTCTAGTGAGGGTCCCCCGATTCTCCTGCTCAGCGGGCACGGCGGAACTGCTCGCGGTCACGGCTCGCGAAATGTCATTTCCGAGTGCAAGCAGCACTCTTCACTGTCCCAACGTATAGTGCTGCAGCCAGTATGGGATTGTACCTTACTGGTGAGTTTTAGTATGGCGCATAGAAGCAAACGCAAGCGGTGTGCGTTTACGTTTGCGTTAGAGAGTGCCCGACGTTGTGCGTGCGCCTCATCGCCATGCGCCATCCGAAACCGCAATTTCGGGCTCCGCGGACGCGCAGTGTGGAACGCGCAAAGCTAACGCAAACACACAGGGCTTGAGTTCGCTCGTATATGCAATACTAAAACTCACTACTGTTTCACCGGCTTCCAACGCCAACGAAAAGTGCTGCAGTGAGCAGATGTGCAAGCAGGTAGGCGTTCCGGCAAACTTGAGAGGCTCACATTGGCAAAACGACGGAGCGTAACTATGAAAATAACTAAATGTTATAAAAAAATAGATAACAAAAAAAAAAAGTTTCTTTTTTAATTTTTGCTAGAAAGTTTTCATTTATTTTAGACTTTTTATTTTATTACTTAGTAATTAAAAATGCTGCAATGGAAACCAGTGATGATAATTAGCACACTTTTGATTGTCAAATTTGTTCGCGCTGTTTGCGTGTTTGAAATGAGACCATAACCAACAAAACATATCAGAGCAGGAAAAATTACGTATTAAAATATCTGAATTTTAATAATATTATTATAAATACAAATCGCGGCAATATATGCCCCAGATTAACGCAAAGATCACGAAAATACGCCTATCTAACCATAATAGTCTTTCCAGAAAGGTATATATATATTTTTTAGCATATGAAAACTCTGACATCGTTATCAATATACACAAACAGTCAAATACTGGATATAATATGAAGTCCCATGCTTCACGCGTTGCTATAAAAGACACAGACACATTTCAGCTGTCTGACTCGGATTCCGTCTTTGGGATGTTGCAGTGAGAAATGCGTTTATTAATTTATACATTTTGTGGACATATTGTAAAAATTTGAATTATTTTCTTATTCCTGTGCTCAGAATAATGTTAAACCAATTAATCATCTAAATACCCCAAAACCCATTAAAAGACCCGCAGTTCATTATTTCCCTTAACAATTATCTGAGTGAGAAAAGGCAGCGAGAACGCACAAATATCAGCACTGATTTTCTTAACAACTACAACAACTACAAATTTCCGCCTGGATCGGACATGTATGTCACAAGATACAATTTCCGCGAACAACTTCTCTAAGTAAATAATTACGATGTGAAACGCATCTTGAGTTATAGAAGAATACGGAATCCAGACTTATATTGAGAAATTAAATCAAAAATAGAGGTTAGTTTCGGTTTCGCTCCAGAATTAAAATGTGCCTCTTGGCGTAAATATTACGCTAAAGACCGTTCTTGTTTTCAGGATAAAGAGGTGACCTGCGCCATAACACCCTAGCTTCCTCGTATTACCAGAAATAATTTGTGTCACTCAGTGAAGCCAGCACACTAGACAGGCTCAACAGCGGCACGCATATCCGACCCTCACTATAACCGCCATTTTGGAAAATGAATGGCACCACCTATAGTTAGTTGGAGTAGCCAATTGCTCTAAAAATTTTTTTTTTCTCTCCTAAAATTAATTTTGTTGACATGCATGTCCCAATTAGACTGTTCAAAAAAAAAACATTACTTTCCAGGGGCTCCTTAGTTCTGTGCTCCTTTACTACTACACTAATGCTCCAAATTTCATACTCTGAGCACAGCAACTAAACAGAGCATAGCATACAGCAGCGCGACAGACCAAAACTATCGACTAGCCACATGAGCCAATCATGACGAACTTGCCATCTTGTAGATACGGGTGGTAAAAGCCAAAATTATTTCGAAGATAAATTAATTGAGTCCCCCGTGGAGCGGCACAGTGTAAAGAAAAAAAAGTGACCTTAGGAAGTTTGTACGAATGTTTTAATATTTTTGAAAGGTTTGAAGACCGATCTATTTATTGATCATGCATGCTGTTCAGGTTTAAATGAAGGACGACATTCTTGAATTCGCTTTTTGACACAAGAAACTGTCAAACTTGTCGATGTTCTGTGGTTTCATCTTGCAGCGCAAAATGGAACCCGTTGATGTGCTACGCCGATACCAGCACATTACCGTTCAATAAATAGCATGTCAATTCGTTTTCAGGCAAGAAGATGCATGAACAAATCTTTTTCACAACCCTAACTGATATTTTGACTTTCCAATCGAAGTATCTTTATTCGCTGGGCTAAGCGTTGTAAAAAGGGCAGCAGTTTGAATGTCTTCTCATCTCGACAACTTTTCTGTCGCTGTGCTATCAGCAGGCTACCCTTCGATATATGAATTTGTTTTCAGGTGAGATGCATGAAGAAACCCCTCCCGCAACGCTAACTGATGTCTTGGTTTTCCAGTCGAAGTATCTTTATTCGCTGGGCTAAGCGTTGTAAAAAGGGCAGCAGTTTGAATGTCTTCTCATCTCGACAACTTTTCTGTCGGTGTGCTATCGGCATGCTACTGATCAATATTTGAATTTGTTTTCAGGCAAGATGCATGAGCGCAGCTTTTACGCAATGCTAATGATGTTTTGGCTTTCCAATTGAAGTATCTTTTCTCGCTAAGCTAGGCATGCTACCATTCAATGATGAATTTGTTTTCAGGCGATATGCACAAACAAACCTTTTCTGGAACACTAATTGCTGTCTTCTGCTGGATTAAGCATTAATCAACTGAAAAGGGACAGCGGTCCACTGCGCCCTTCGTCTCGTCAATGTTTCTCTCAGCGCAGCGCCATCCTGTTTATTGACATAACTTCATGGAGTGTGAAGAAGTCGCTTGCACTCCGAGAATTACTCGGTGCACAAAGAGCACGCTTGCGTGTCAATCTCCAGCGGCGCTCCTGTCCGTTTAGTGAACATAGTGCCAAACTCTCGTGCCCAATGTGACGCTTCCCCTAACTGTTCAGAAGTGTCTTCAATTCATCAAAGGCCTAGACACTTTTGCAGTGATGGGGAAATCGGATATCAAGCTGCTTTGGTTGCTTGCAGTCACGATGAGTACCAGTACCTGGACACGCTGGCACACATCCTCAAGAACGGAAGGCAGAAGGGAGACAGGACGGGGACTGGCACCATCTCCATCTTTGGTGCACAGTGCAGATACTCCCTTGCAGATGGTTCGTTGATTTGACATGAGAGAGGCCCGCTCTGCCTCAGCCAGGCCACTTAAAAGGCCCTTCTTTGTGCCAAGGAACCATGCCTTTGCTGACGACCAAGCGGGTCTTCTGGCGAGGGGTTGTGGAAGAGCTGCTCTGGTTCCTTCGGGGGTCAACCAACGCCAAGGAGCTGTCTGAGCGTGGCGTTCGCATCTGGGATGGCAACGGCTCCCGCCAGTTCCTTGACAGCCTCGGTTTTGTCGACAGGGAGGAAGGTACGTATGTGTGGCACCGTGAGTCGAATGTGGCGGTCAAGAGCTACAGCCCTATTGTTGTCTTATGTGACTGGCATGTGACCTCATGTTCATACAGGAGGAGGGGCCATCGGGGCGTTCTGCGCCATGTAGGTAGTCAGCACGTGCCTAGTGCCAAATGCTAGCTGCCTATCCCACCGCCGTTTGTACAGGAGTTGTTAGTATCGGTAAGTCTCTTTTGCACGGGAAAAAATGGCTGTCCTGCATGGAGTAGATGGGAAGGTGTAAGATTCTGGAATGTTTACGACCTTTGAGCAGAAAAAGCTTGTGCGTAGGGCAAGGAGCCCCCAGCGGGGCGGGCGTCCCCTTACCCGTGAACAGCCCGTGGCAGTGGGGCGACTCGCACTTCGCTGAGCTGGTTGCAGCTGAGAAGGTTCTCCGCCTAATGTATTTTCTCCGGTGGGCTACCGGTGCCACCACTCATGGGTTGTTTATGTTACGGAAACATTTTTCCTTTTTCCGTTGACGAGCGTAAGATTACCCTCCTAGAATTGTCTGAGGCGCTGTGCTTGGCCTGTCTGTATTTGTTCCTCCATCCGGTGTTCGGAGTGCCAGTGGTGATTTGTTGTGTCTGAGAGCCAGACTTGTCTGTCTCCTACGCTTGGCTTGGCACCTTCTCATCTCTGGGTTCGGGCACTGGATGAAAATGCTGACCCTCATGGAAAAACGGGAAAAAGGGACAGGCGGAAGGTTCACATGAGCACAAGCGAGACAAAGGGAGGGGACTTTGGTTCGTTATCGTCGGAGAGATATAAGCCACTCTCTGACAGCGGCTGAATTCGCGGCTCGAGTTGTTGAGGTCTTTCCGTATTCGTTCCGTCAACTTTCATTCAGTCGTATACGCCTACTATTAAATTTACAAAGTTTCAGACTAGAAGTTGTCCCGTCTGATCTGCTCCCTGCCGCCAAGACCCAATGAAGGCCCCTTCCTCCGGACCACCAAGGAGAAAGAGCATCCAATCCATCATTAAGAACCTTACTCAAAGGTTATGTTAAAGGCACGCTAAACCAAAACTGGGAGCGCACAAAACCAGGCTGGAGAGGTGGGCAGGACGCTGCAGAACTTAAAAACATCACTCATACAGCGATGTCTCTAATGGTTGGCCGACCAGACATGTCACGTCACGATTCTTATTTTCTTTCCTCTCCGCTTTGTCCCCTCGAGCAGGTACAGGTGAACTGAAGCGAGGAAGAAAGAAGCAAGGCCGCTTCCTCTCATTCTTAACTGTTCCAGGAGGATTGTGAAGTCACAGTCCTCGCTTGATCGCTCTCTTTTTTTCAAAAAATACGGCCATCTGTTTGAGATATCGATGTATGAGTGATGTTTCGGAGTTCATAGTGTCCTGTCCAACACATCTGTCACCTTGTTTTACAAAATCCAAATTTCGGTTCAGCATCCTTTTAAGTCGACGAGACAGTCGACTTAAAAGACAGAGGGTTGTTGAAGATATTAGAAAGGCCAGGCAGCCTCTGCAACGTCGTCCACTCCCTCCTCCTTATCTGGAAAGCAACTTTACCGCATCGCACGCGGAGAAGCCGTCATGGCATGCCGATAGGGGTGTGGGGAGCCCTAGCGAAAATGTACCGGCGGAGATGACAGAGAGAGCCTAGATTTAAGAAAGGGAGCAGTAAGTACGCCTGCATTTATTGAGGTTTATTGAGGTTACCTGCATCGTCTTGGAGGCATTATTGCAGGGAGAGGTTTACAAAGAACAGTTCAGCTGAAAACACAGATGGAAACACATTTCCGTTAAGCATGTTCCATTCTGATGCAGTTCGAACAAAATATGATTTACAACAAGAGCTAATGGTTGCAACTTTGTATTGGTGGTCCACTCTTTCCGACACGTAAAAAGGGCATTGAATGTAATTTTCTTTACTGATGCAAGTTTTATCATTATAAAGACAGTAGAAAAATTTTAGTCTTAGATTTTTTCGTCTGTACGACAGCGGTTGCCAGTGTAACTGTTGCTTTATGGCCGTGACGCTTGCTTTGAACCTATAAATATTTGAGACAAATCTAGCACCGCGATTTTGCACTCGTTCTAATTTATCCGATAGATGTTTAGTCTGGGGGTCCCAAACTATGCACGCATATTCCAGAACTGAACGTACAAAAGAGAAATATAAAGTTTCCTTCAATTCCTTTGGGCAATGGCGAAAATTGCGACGTAGAAATCCTAACATGCTGTTCGCCTTATTAGTAATGAAATTAATATGACTATTCCATAGTAAGTCGCTTGAGAAAATAACACCAAGATAACGAATATTTTCTTTTCTTTCGAGTTGTTGAGTGTTAACCGTATAGCCCATATTTTCTCTGACTTGCTTTTTCCTCGAAAATCTTACCATTTTGCATTTTTTTGCATTAAGCTCCATTCGCCAATCGATACACCAGTTTGACACTCGGTCCAAGTCTAATTGAAGTTTGAGATAATCTTCGTCTTCCTCAATTACTCTATATATGACGCAATCGTCGGCGAAAAGTTTAAAGCGCGAAGAAATGTTTGAACAGATGTCATTAATATATGTCAGAAAGAGCAGAGGTCCCAACACCGAACCTTGGGGAACACCAGATGTTACAGTAACGTTATTGGATGAACAACCCTTCAATAGTACACATTGTTTTCTATCATCTAAGTAGTTACCAATCCAGGCTAAAGCATCGGAATGGATATTCAAACACTCTAACTTTCTCAATAACAGAGAATGATCTACTTTGTCAAATGCCTTGGACATATCTAGGAAAACACAATCAACCTCCTTTCCGGACTCAATTGCAACTGCGATGTCATGATGAAAGTCAGCTAACAACGTTACACATGATGCACCGGACCGGAAACCATATTGTTCTTTTGCAAGGTGATTATGATCTTCCAAATGCGTGATTAGGCTGCTATAAACGACATGCTCAAGAATTTTACATATGATCGACGTCAACGAGATAGGCCGATAATTACTAACAACATTTCTGCTACCGCTTTTGTGGATCGGCACAACATTGGCGGTTTTCCAATCATCTGGAAACTTGCGCTCAGTTAAGCTTTTTGTAAAAATAATCTGCAAATAGCACGACAAGATAGATGCGCAGTTTTTATGCATGACAGCAGGAATGCCGTCAGGTCCGGTTGATTTCGACGTGTCGAGACTAAGCAGCAGTTTTTCAATTCCTTTGTATTGGATGATAAGCGGCAACATTGGATGATAACCTAAATTTACAAAACGTGACGTGTCCCCAGGTGGTATCTTGGCGTTAAACACAGATTTGAAATACTCATTTAAACAGTTCGCCTTTGCTGTATCATCAGTGACATCAGTTCCCTCGAAAAGGAGTGCCGGTATAGTAGTGTCTGTTTTCTTGTTACTCTTCACGAACCTCCAAAACTCTTTTTTGTTGTTGGCAAAGTTGCTATTTAGCCTCTGAAAATATGTAATTTTACTTTTTTCTGCAAGTAACTTGTACTGGGCTGACAAGCTCTTTAACCTATTTCTGTTTAGTTCTGACTTATTTTTACAGTATTTACCGAACGCTCTGTTTCGGCGTTTTATTAGTTTTAAAAGTTCTGGAGTAGCCCATGCTTTGTTGACAGCTTTTCCCTCTTTAATGTTTTTCGTGGGTATGTGTTTGTTCATAAGAGAGTGCAGTTTATCCCTGAACATGTTCTATGATGTTTCAATGTCTGTGAGGTTTGCCCTGTGATTGAAAACAGCTAAAAAAGACTGCAGGTCCTGTGAAAGTGCAGTATAATTACCCTTGTTATATAAATAAACTTTCCTTTTATTATGTTTCGGACTTGGTGGCCTTGTAAGGGATAGTTCAGCTGTAAATGCATCATGATCACTTATTCCAGGAATGACTGTTGTGTTTTCATTATATTCCGGGAAGTTGCACATTACCAGGTCAAGAGTGTTGTCTTTCTTTGTAGGCTGGGTGACATATTGTTTAAAACCAAAAGTATTCATAAGGCATTCAAATTCTTTATGTAAGATCGTATTTGGCACTCTAATGTTTCCATTGTCCATTACTATTTCTGGAAGATTAAAATCACCACCTAAAATTACACACTCATTTGGCATATAATTAATAATTTCTTGTAACATGGCTAATGTCTCATGACCTGATTTGGGGGGTCTATAAAAAGCACCGATTAAGATTGTTGTCCCTTTTACACATATACGAGACCAAACAGACTCAACACAGCTGTCCTGAATTTCAAAGTGAGTGCTGTGCAATTCGTCAGCAATCAATAAGAACACCCCTCCGCCGTGACTATTACGGTCATGACGATATACTGCATATCCCGGAAGAAATATTTCACAATCTTTAACACTATCATCAAGCCATGATTCAGTTCCCACAACGATTGAGGGACCTGTCGCTTCAATGAGACCCCATAATTCGGAGAGTTTATTTTTGACACTACGGCAGTTTACAACCAACATTCGGATTGGCTTTTCATGTTTTTTTGTTTTTGCAGCTGCTGGCGAAGACACCTGATTTCATTTTGTAGTACTCTCAGCAGAAGAGCCTACTTGGTCCCAGCTTTTTTGTTTTACTTCTTGCGAGGCTTGATCATACACGAATGTACGTTCACCAATGCACAACTTATCGTATCGTAGTTTAACCCCTTGCCTACTAATAACGAGTGTCACTCATGCCGCCATTTACGGACCATAAAACCCGACCACGAGTGTGACTCGTGTTTCGGTTTCAGAGCTTGTTTTGTGAGCTCTGCGGCAGATGGCAGCACCACCCCTGTTGCTCCTGTTCACCTTGGGTTCTTCCATCCAAGGCATACTTTGCCTTGTGCATCATTATGACGCAAGTGAAAAAACACACAGTCAAAATGAACTGGTCCAAGAGGTCCATAGTGGAGACCCCAATTTTCGGCAAAACGATGTCCTATGTGAGGTTTCTGCTAATCTCTCTATTTCTTCACTTCGTTGATAATGAAACGGCC